GCTTTCCATACTTATCTAATTTCCCCTCGATTATCATACGTTTCTTTGTCGATGATTTAGGTCCAAGGCCCCATTTTCTCGGATACGCGTCTCTCTCCATAATTACCCTTTTAATTTTTGCTGCAGTTCCATGATCACATGCAGCCATGGTTGCAGAGGTCATCAATGCTATGGCTAAGAGAAGTATGTGCATAAAATAAATTAATATTATAAGAATGATGAAAAAAAGAAAAGAAGTGAATATTATCATTTCGTATTCAGTGTATATATATTCAAAACGTTAAATCAAATGTGTCGAAACATTAAGTAAAATGTTTCGTTATTATCATTTAGGAAATATTCACCAAGTGCTACAGCTTCGCCCTTAGTGGTCACAATTACTATTTCCTGATTTACTTCTATATCTGAGTCGTACATCAGAATGCCTGGCAGCATTATTTGCGCTCCGTAACAAATTGCGTTTACCTAACAGTTTTGATTACAAGATGTATAATTCGAGTAGACAATATTATTTATCACTTTACAAACAATATAAGAAAAACTTGATACATACAGCGCTATCCTTTACGATAATTCTCTTGTGTTTCACTAGTAGCGCTTCCAACGGTTTTATTACTCTCCTCAGATATGATTCGTCCCCGTGATTATCGTACAACCACTGGGCATCAAGGATATCATGCATAGTGATCATATTGTCATCTTCGGATTGAACGCCAGAGCGACTTCGTCTAAGTTCTTGCATGTGACAACCAGTACCCAAGAAGAGCCCGAGATGGACACATAGAGTTCTGATATAAGAGCCAGCTTCACAGCTCACACGAAATACGCCCATGTTTTTCTCAGTGTCATAATCGAGTAACGCGCTTTCGTAAACTGTCCTAACACGGAGTTGTCTCTTAACTGCTGATATAATTGGTGGCCTTTGAAATAGAGCACCTTGTAGTTTCTCCAATGCTTGTTGCACCTATAATTGTATTAATGAGGTTTTCTCAAGGTACACAAAAAATTCTTATGTACATAAATATAAAATATACTATATAAAATTATTACATGTCAATATAATGTAAACTCACCTTCTGTACACTTTCTGGGGCCGAGTGAAGTTTAAATACAGCAATATATTCTTTACCAGCAGATTGCTGTGACTTTGCTAATCTGGTGGCTCTATCGATACAGACTATCAAACATCCCGATACTTTAGGATCCAATGTACCAGAATGACCAGTCTTTTCCACCCTCAAAATTTTCTTTATCCAAGCCACAACTTCATGTGATGATGGATTACATGGCTTATCTAGATTGATGCAGCCTGACTTTATATATTCTGATAGGGTACGATTGAGTGGAGTAGAACCACACGATAATGGAGTGAAGTGCTTTGTGCGTGTCAGCATCTTATCAAAATTCTATATTAAACAGATAAGAAATTCATCTTCATATATACTTATTATCCCATTAAAGTTCGTAATTATATCTTTGTTTTTAATATATTGTTACCTTAAATAACAAAGGCCAATCTTTATAATCGAGCTTTGTTATTTCATCGGAAGGTTCGATTTCGCATTTTGTCTCCCTCTGAAGCTCTCCGAGAGATTTCTTCTTGCTCTTCTTCTTATGTTTATCTGTAAAGAGCAGCGCGATAGGTAACTTAACCTACATCTAAACATGGACTAACGCTTCGATAAATCGGTATCAAAGTAAATCAGATTCTTTTAAATAGATGTAACAGCAAATTTATTACATAAACAGCTTTCGATAGGTCAATATTTTTCTGTATTTCAGAGAGTACTTTCACTGTAAATGAGTGTAAATTTAAGTGAACACGTGTGTTCCATAAGATGCTACATGGCAAAATTCATAACAGAAAAACGACAGTTAACAATACTACTTATAACTGGTGTAAAATAAAAAGTTATAAACATTGAAAACAATATACGAAATATACTTATTATAAATGTATAAAAAAAATTATAATAATTACCGTTCTCTGCCATCTTCGAGCCTGTTACAACATGTGCGTACTGAATCCAGGTAACAACTGGAAGCTACATTTAAGTTGCGTTCGGAAATATCGCAACGATTGACCAATCAGAACAAAATGAAACGCGCGTCAAACATGTATACTTGTTTTCTTAAGGTTGTTTTCTATTGCTGCAGTGGTTGCACTAGCTTACACTAGTTTTTTTTTCGCTCTTTCCTACCAAAGATCGTAAAGTCTATGCATAATACTAGGCAACGAGAGCAGAGAATAAAGCGGAGTCTACAGTGAAAATTTAAGACATAAGATTTAAGAAATTGGCCAATCATAATTGAATTTCCTTCTATAATTCAACCGTGATGCGTAATTTTTTTGAACTAGTGCAGCTAGTTCAGCTATAAAGCCAGCAGGCATAAAATGCTTGTTTTCGTGCTGAATTGTTTGCTGGGTGGAAATACTGCGTTTTGACTAGTGTGTCCATTTTTGGAAGTACGAAATTAAAACGCAGTGTTTCCATTCAGCAAATAATCTAGCGCGCAACAAGCACCGTTGGTCTGTTCTTTATAGCTGTACTGCTGAACTGGTGCAATATGTTAAAGTGAGACAAGAATATGTTTTCTCCATTGAACTAAAGAACATATTGAAATGAACCCTGGCGTGGTGGGGGTTGTGGTCCGTTAAACACGTTCAGACTACAGATTGGAGGTTGAGATTGAATTGAATTTGACCAATCAGTGTACAGTTCACTAAATTTTACTAAACTTGAGTTCAGTTAATTTTGTACTGATTGGCCAATTCATTTCAATCTCAATCCCCAATCCGTAGTCTGATACGAGGTTTAAAAATGCTATACGACAAAGGCCACGTCTAAATAGTATCTCGCTCTCTGTCTTAGTAATATGCTATATATTCCATCAAATAAGTACCAGGAATTGTTTATTTCAAAAGCCCATGTAAAAGGTATGAAAACAAATTTTTTGCTGTAAGTTGGTATCTATGTACCTAATTGTCACGTAGAGTTTTGGCGTTATCTGTCAACTAGTTTGTTTATAGCTGTTTTGTTAGTCGACCTTAAATTAGTCAACCTTAAAACACTCTGCGATTTTTTAAATGGATAAAAATATCAAACATTTTTCCACAAATTTTGTGTTGCCAACCAAATTTCTTATGCTGTCATTGAAAATGTTGGAAAAAGCCTATGGTGAGTCAGCTTTTTCGAAAACACGAGCATACGATTGGTACGAAGCATTCAAAGAAGGCCGAGAAGTGGTTAAAGACTTGTTTTGTTTCAGTCGATCTTCAACGTCTTCGACTGACGGTAACGTCGACAAAGTGAAGGAAATGGTGATGGAAAATCGTCATTCAAGCTTAAAAGAGATGACTCAGGATCTAGACATATCTCACGAATCCGTTCGCATCATTTTAGTTGATGTTTTGGACACGAGACGCGTCGCAGTGCGGTTTGTTCCGAAGGAGCTGAATTTTCTTCAAAAAGAGCACCGCAACAGGTTGCTGAAGACATACGAGGTGTGTTCATAAAATAACGGGAATTTTTTAATTTCGCAGGTTTGGAGAGTCCGATCGTCAAAAATTTTTTTTATTATGTTGGTACACATGTCCCTGAAATATGATAACATTTTTAGCTGAATTCATTGTTTACTTTGTGGCAGCCGCTAAGGTTAGACGTGTTTTTATGAGCTCGGCGATTTTCGTTTGTTAAAAGAAATGGATCAAAGAATTTGTATCAAATTTTGCGTAAAAAATGAAATAAAGTGTAACGAAGTGTGTGAAATGTTAACAAAGGCCTATGGTGAGTCTGCTATGAGTAAAACAAGAATTTACGAGTGGTATAAGCGTTTCCAAGATGGCCGTGAAGACGTTGAAGATGACGAACGCCCCGGACGCCCCAGCACATCAACAACCGATGAAAACGTGGAAAAAGTGAAAGAAATGGTTATGAACGATCGCCGAATCACAATCAGAGAAGTCGCTGATGATGTTGGCATATCGATTGGTTCATGCCATGAAATTTTTTCGAATGTTTTGGGTATGAAACGCGTGGCAGCAAAATTTGTTCCAAAATTGTTGAATTTTGAACAAAAACAGCAGCGAATGGAAGTTGTTCAGGAGTAACTAAATGAAGTTAACGACGATGCAGAATTACTGAAACGTGTTATAACAGGTGGCGAAACATGGGTTTACGGATATGACGTCGAAAGTAAGGCTCAATCGTCCCAGTGGAGGCATTCTGGCTCGCCAAGACCGAAAAAGGCTCGACAAGTGCGGTCGAACGTGAAGGTTATGCTCACTTTATTCTTTGATTTTAATGGCATAGTGCATCATGAATTCTTGCCACGAGGTCAAACGGTCAATAAGGAGTGCTACCTACAAGTTCAACGCCGTTTGCGTGAAGCAATCCGAAAAAAACGCCCGGATTTGTGGAAAAACAATTCATGGCTTTTGCACCACGATAATG